TTGGTCGTGACACTTGCCCACTTGCACTGGCACGCGTACGCAACCGTGCCTTTGTCGCGCCATGAGATGACGGTGGCCGTGGCCGGCGAACTCACCCTGGCACGACTCCATCTTGCGTCGCAGCTTTGCTTCGTTCGGGACATTCTCGCGAAAGAACATGTAGTCGGCCGAGTCGCTCCATCTCCTGCGCATGTTCCCGTTATGCTCGATTCCGGCGGCGACGCCTTACGAGTGTTCAAACTGGACAACGAGGAAGTCACAGTCAGTGCACCGCAGGTTGGAGCATGCTCTAGCACGACCACCGTGAGTTGGATGTTTGGCATCGCAGCGGTGCGCACTGTGGGTTCACCGAGCTCGTGGCCACACCATGCTTCATTTGAGACCCTCCCAGGTACACGGCAATGCACCTGCTGCGACCGTAGATCACGCGACGCATGATCGTTGACGGCGCACCTTTTCGACGAGCCCGATGCGCCGACCGGTCTGTGCGAAGAAGCCATGGCTGGCGGGGCGGTGCTTCGAACGTCCGTTGCGGTTGATTTGGCCGTGTCCGGGCCATCCACGAGGTCGAGCAGCTCGTCCAAGTCCGACTTGGCGTGGTGGGATGGCAATGTCTTGGCATACGAGTACGTTGACGACGCGGGTTTGTCCAAGCGCCTACCAGCCATCCATTCACAAACGCACGTGGCGCTATCGAGATCGTACGACAGAATCGTGTGGCGCTGGTGCGATTTGGTCGCTTGCGGCGTATCATGGACCGCAGATTCGACTTCGTTCACCAACGCTTCAAAGTCCATGGCCCCGACGACTTTCCAAGTTTGCACGCTTGAGCCTCTCTCTATTAATAGCGGCGACGGCGCCGTTTCGCGCCCCAAGACGATCATGTGGACGACGGGACATCCACTCGCATTCCTCGTTGTTGTCCAGGTTACAACTTGCATCGTCCTTGCACATTCGGCGACGACAACGTCCCCCTGCACTACGCAACTGCTTCTACCTACTGCAATACGAGGCCGACTTTGTCGTGGGGCATGCGGGGGCAGCGCCAGTTGTACAGGTAGTACTGAAGTTCGCCGCTGCCCATGCCAAACTTGAGTTCGTCCAAAAACTCGGAATTTTCCATCAAGTTGAGCGCGTTGAACACGTCCATGTTGGCGGCCTTGGCCATGATGAGGCAGTTCTGCATGAGGTCCGTTAACGACACGGACGTCGCAACGTTGTAGAACGAGTACGCAGCGAACAGCGTCTTGTGCGTCGCATTCCCAATGATCGTGCTCGGCAAGTGGTAGAACGAACAAAAGTCGGTCACCTTGTGCGACTCTGAGTTCTCGACGACGTACGTATTCACGACGCCGTCGCGCGGCAGCAGCCAGTGCGCGACTTCGTGCTCGTTCATGTCGGCCTTCAAGTGAAACTTCTTTTGGTACCGACGGAGGAGCCCGGTCACGCAAGACACGTGCTTGGGCTGCATCGGGATAAAGTTGGCCAGCGTCGGCTCTTCGGGCACCTTGTACATTTTGATCGTGCGCGTCATCGTCATGTTGGGCGGGAGGTGGGAAAACCCGACTTCAATGCACTTTTTCGGGTTCAAGTTGCGATGGTAGTATCGGCAGGTCGAGACGGGCATCGGGAGCACGACGCCTGCCGTGTACACTGCCTGCCACACGTCGAGAAGGTTGACACGACGAGTAATCTCCTTGATGAGCACTGGTGCCAGTCGCTTCGTTCGGAGCTTCTTGTGCACGCACAGGTAGTTGATTTCCGCCATGGGCATCGTGTGGTCGTACACCTTGATCTTGGTCGGGATGCCGCTGATGAACGCCATGAGTTTGCCAGTCTTTTCGTTGCGCACACCGACGTGCCACGACTTGTGATACCCTGGGGATGTGAGCACCCACTTGAGGAACTCAATCGAGTAGTCGAACCGAAACATGTTGTCGTCGTCCTCGACGTAGTTTTGGTACAGCAAATCGTACAGTTCCTTGGCGTCGCCAGCGTCCGTCATGTCCAAGTCGCACCATGCAAAGCCAGCAGGAAGCTTGAGCGGCGTCGCACGAACATCATCAACTGTCTTGGGGCTGTCGATGGGGGCGTGGTCCACCGGGTTTTCCGAAATGCCCGGCACGGGCTGGGTTTTCCAGAATTTGTAGTCCGACTCGGCCTTTGTTCGTGCGGCCGGAGGCGGGGCCGACACCAAGTTGAGCTGTTTCAGCACACGTAGAAACTCTTCCTGCTCCTCGACAGTCACGAGCTCCGCGGCGGACTTGTCTCCGTCCTTCCTCTCGAGCTCCACTTCCTCCACGTGGGCATCTTCTTCCTGCTTCGACGACATGATCGAAACTTTTTTGTGGTCCGCGCACCTCATTGACTGCTCGATCTTGGTTGGCTTTATAATTCAACTTTGCATGCTTTCATTGGCCAGAGTATTGTATTTTAGCCAATCATGATCGCAAAATCATCAGAGACGTTTCCTCACCTTGAAGTGCCACCTCCATCCGGATAATAACCGGAAAACCTCGCAATCCCGCGACGATGTCAACCTCACCACCCGCAGCCGGCGCCGCCCGTGCGGCCCGAAGTGGCGGGGTGGCGTGCTTTGGGTCTGGTCGCGTGGCATATCCACTCGTAGAGTTCCTGACTCGCGATGCATCTGCCCATCTGACATTGGTCTCCGACGATGCGTTGCAGCTGGCATCGTTCGCTTCCCGAATCTCCCGCCTGCATCGGGCGAATCTCACGATTGAAACGATGGCGGCGGTGGACACAGAAGAGTCGCTCGCCCTCATCACGGATTTTCTCAAGCAGCGGGCGTTTGCATGTGCCGTTGCGCTCGTCCCCGAAGATGCACAATACACACTCGCCCGCGCATGCATTGCCACCAACACACCTCTCGTCACCGCCAGCTACGTGTCGCCCCGCATTCGTCAATTGCATCAAGCGGCCATCGATGCGGACATCCCGCTGCTTTGCGAGTGTGGGCTTGATCCTGGCCTTGTAACCATCCATGTCCACACGTATGATCAAGTCGCTCTCTTACCGATTCTGCATCGTAGGATCACATGGGGGCTGTGGACATGATCGCGTCGATCCAGAAAGCTAGCCGAGGCGTGATCACTAAGTTCACTTCGGTGTGTGGGGGGCTGCCGGCGCCCGAGTCGGCCACAAATCCCCTCGGGTACAAGTTTACTTGGGCTCCTCTAGGTACCAACTACTGTACGTCGTCCAAATCAAGACCTCATCCTTCGTTAGGGGCTCTCCGAGCGCTTCAGCGTTCTGCGCAGTTCAAAGAATGCGACCGCACGGTGTCGATATGTGGGCGAGACTTGCTGTCCCACGCGATGCCAGTGCGCACGATCCCCGCCCTTGCGCTGGAGCAACTGCCGAACGGCGACGCGATTCCATATGCCAAACTGTACGGCATCCCCGACGTCCCGACCATCTTTCGGGGAACATATCGGTATCGCGGCTTTTGCGCTATCATGCGAGACTGTGTCGCGCTCGGCTTGCTGGACGATGCACCACTCCCTTCTACCAACGTGACGACGTGGTCGCATTTACTGGCAGCCGTCAGAGCAGCAAAGGAAGGGCTTTGTCAAGCCGTTGAAACAAACGAGTTCTTTGCGTGGATCGGCGACGACGTGTCGACGCGAGGCGGGGCCACGTGCCTTGCAGCGTTTGCAAACGTGCTCGAGCAACGGCTGGCTATGGCCCTGGACGACCGGGACCTGGTGGTCCTCACCCACGCAGTTGAAGTCGACATGGGGAACGGAGCGATGGAAGTGCACACGGCGTCGTTGATCGGGTACGTCGGTGACGAGAGTGTTTTGCCGGTTCGTGCTAAGGTAGGGCGGTAGATACGGCGATCACGAGAGCACATTCATGGCTAAATCCGTGGGCGTCACCGCCGCCGTCGTCACGCAGCTCGTTGTGGAAGGCCGCGTGAAGCATCGAGGCATCCTCGCGCCGACGACTCCCGATGTGTACACACCGGCGCTTGCCGCTCTCGAGAAAGAAGGCATTCGCTTTGACGTGCATGTGACACGCCGTCATGCCGCCAAATTGTAGCCACGAGTTGGAATCGAATAGAAGCATGCGTTTCGATGACGAATGAACCGACACTTGACTCGAACTTGTCCATGCAGCCATGCCGCGGAGGCCGGGGGCAGGAGGTGGGAGCCACGAAGTGGCGATGCAGGTTGACCAACGTGGCTGGGAGTCTCCTCGATCGAAGAGTGTGCCGTGATGTCCAAAGGGGTGCCGCGGATCAGTCCACCGGTTCACACTCGGGTTCATCTTGTAGCGGTTTAATTTGCAAAGACACCGCGCGACCAAAGATGACCCTAGTTCATTCACACTCGCGCATTGCCCTACATTCATCGTCGCGTACCGCCCGTTTGGATTCGCATACGGGGCCGCTCGCTTCATCAGAGTCGACCTGCTTGCTGCGATTCCTGTCGGCATGCTAAGGAACACTTCTGACGGTACAAACGACCTATGATCCACGTCCTTCGCACCCCACGCACAACAGACTTCACAAAGATACGCTCTGCATGCCTACCATGCTGCAGCGTTCGTGCATTTATGTCGAACCAAGTCCCCAAGCTCCAGGCGCCGATGGTCAACCCGAGAGAGCCGATGGCGGAGTTGGGGACTACTCCTTCGAGCGCCGACCAAATGCCAAGCTACAAGAGGGACATTCGTATCGTGCCAGTGCAACGCCGGCACGAGGGAGCGAACATTTTCGTCGTGATTTCGTCCTAAACGCATCGACAATGAACGGCAGTGACACATCGGTGTACTGCCTTCGTCGAGCCACGGCAGCAACGGACAGTGAGGCCAGTATCACGCATTTGACGTGACGACCTGGACATTTGTCGCGATACAACAATGCCAGCATCGAGGACGTCTCGAACGACACATTGCAGGAATAGGGTCGGAGGAGGTTTATTAGCAGGCTCAGTAGCGATAGACTTCTACGTGTTCGTGGCGCCACCTTTCGGGCCGCGAATACGCTGTCTCATGTCGATTTGTCCACGCTTGCATTCAAAATACGCGAGGCGGTACTCCTACAGCCACATGAGACCACTTGCTCGTGTGAGAATGATGTCAAGATGTTGTACTTTGCACTCGTGTCGGAACTCCTCCATTCGCAAGCATTCCTTCAGGGTCTTCGTTCCGTCGCTCATGCATTCCTTCTCACACATGCAGTCGCGCAATGCTTCCGCCATATCGCGGCATGCCTTGCCCATCGTGCAGTCTTTGCAATTCGCGCCGCCAACATTCAAATATCCGGATATCCGGTTATCGAAATGGCAATAAAGCGGTGTATTTATTGGTCGACCTTTCGAATTAGTACCAATAGACTCCTAAGTTTCACAAGTGACATATGTACTACTAGTACCTCTCTATGTGGATTGGATTTTGTGAATATTGAATGTATCTTTGGATTTGAAAATATCTGCAAATATCACAGTATGCGAAAAATGGTTGAAGCCAAGTAAGGTGCACACTCTGCACAAAGCACCCGACCGAAGGACTCGCTGCGGTGGCGCCGCAAACGCCGCTGTGCTTGACAACATGGCCGCTGACAACAACGGTTCGAAGACGCGGGCGATGGGGCTACGACGTCGAAAGTCGAACAATTGTTTCGTAGACGAGATCGGTGGAAGGATTGTCGAGAGCAGGTGCGGCCTTGCAACGTGGCCCCCTCCATCGACCAACTCGTTCACAGTGATTTGTTCCTGCTCGAGCACACGATGCCAGCAACAAAACGCGGAGAAAAGTTGATGCCGTCGACTCCTTCGTCGAATCAAGCCGATACGGCCGATTTCCTCGCCGTTCTGAAGCAGCTCAACTTGCCGCCCCCGACTGCCTCGGTTGCTACGACAACTCAGCCCCCAGCATTCAAGTTCTGGCGTACGCAACCCGTCATGTCATCTGACGATGCCGAGTTGTTGCAAGAGCATGGCTACTGCGACGAATCGATTCCAGTGTCTAGTGTCCGGGAGACACCGCTGAAGCTGCCCGACGGGTTTGTCTGGTCTGCATTCGACATCCACAACAGCGACGACGTCAACGACCTGTACAAGTTCTTGGCGGCAAACTACTGCGAAGACAGCGACGGCCGGTTCCGGTCCGATTACTCTGTCGAGTTTCTAGTGTGGGCGCTGTCGTCCCCCCAGTACGTGGCCGACTGGCACGTTGCCATCCGCCACCGCACGACGGGGAAGCTCATGGCGTTCTTTGCCGGTGTGTACAAAGTCGTCCGAGTCCACCACGACGTGGCACCGACGTGCGAGACGAACTTTTTGTGCATTCACCCCAAGCTCCGAAGCAAGCGGCTCGCCCCCGTGCTCATCAAAGAAATGGCCCGTCGAACCAAGCTCCAGGCGGTGTGGCGCGCCGTGTACACGGGGTCCTCCCACCTCCCAACTCCGGTGGCAACGACCCAGATATACCACCGCAGCCTCAACACGAAAAAGTGCGTCGAGGTCGGGTTCGCCCTCTGCCCGCCAAACGTATCGCTGACGTCGCTGATCAAAGCCCAACGGTTGCCCGAGTCGCCGTCGATCCCTGGCTTCCAGCCCATGCAGGTCCATCATGTCCCCGACGTGACTGCGCTGCTGGTGGCGCACCACACTCGATTTGACCTCGCCCTTGACTGGACCGACGCCACCGTCGCCCACTGGCTCCTCCCTCGGCCGCACGTTGTGTCGTCGTACGTCGTTGTGGACCCCGCCACGAATCGAGTGACGGACGTGTGCTCGTACTATCACGTGCCCATGACGGTCCTAAAGCACCCCCACCACACGACGCTGTCGACGGCGCAGTCGTTTTACAACGTTGCGACGTCCGTGCCGCTGCACGCGTTGGTGCAGGACCTCCTCGTGTCGGCAAAAGCAGAACGCATCGATATTTTTAGCGCCGCCGACATCATGGACATGGACCAAGTGCTGGCTCCGCTCGGATTTGACGTCGGCGGCGGCCACCTCCACTACTACTTGTTCAACTGGCGATGCCCGCGGATGTCGCGTCGCCAGGTAGCGCTCGTCCTGCACTGACGCGGCATGGGTAAACGTGTAACAAAGCAATGGATTGGTTTGGCATCGCCTGCGTTTTGAAACACCGTCTCGAAATAGCGTTCCGACGGGACACGCCGCCCATTCACACACCGCCATGAGCCGCAACATCGCGTTCTCGCGGCCGGCGACGTACAACCCAGCCCTGGTGAAGAAGAGGACGACGGGCGACGACGATGACGAGTTGGCGAGGCGTCAGCAGCTCAAGGAAGAGCTCGGGCTGACTGACGACGACGACAGAGGGGACATGGAGAGCTCGCGCGGCGGGGCCGTGTCCGAGTGGCGCCAGCGATGCGACGAAGCAATGGCCAAGCTCCAGGTCGCGTTGGAGAACGAAGAGAAAGCGCAGAGCTCGTTGAGCAAGCTCCAGCTCTTGAGCAAGTCCCAAACAGCAATTTTGAAAACAACGTTTGACAAGAAGCTCAAGTCGAAAGAGTCGATGGTGCATGACTTGCTCCACGTCATTGCCGACCACGAGTCCAAGCTCAAACGAAGCGGCATCCCGTTTGAAGCGTACGAGCGCCCGACAGAGCGAGACGAGGCCGCAGTCGCCAGCCACGACAACGACGCGCTCGCGTCGCTCAAAGCGCAAGTTGAAGCTCTCGCCGATGAAAACACCAGCCTTCGCAAGAAACTCGCCGCTGCCGCGACTTTGCCCATGGCGTCTGCGGCAACGGACGGTTCGGCCAAGGCCGAGAACGAATCCCCCCACTTGCTGAAGAAGATTGCGTCGCTCGAGATGGAAAAGCAGAGTTTGATCCAGCTTCTCAAGGATGCCCAACTCAAACTAAGCGCACACAAGGCAGCAGCGACAAAGGCGGCCGCGCCACGGGACATCGCCGACACGCCGCCGCCTCCGGCCCCCGTCGTTGTGGCGACCACCGATGAGTACAAAGACCTGGAGCGCAAACTCGCCAAGGTCGAAGGCGAGCTGAAGAAAGCGAACCAAAAGGTGCGGCGAACTCGCCCTTGTGACCACGTAATCTTCACAACGTCTTGCAGGTGGAAGCAGCAGAAAAAGAGATTGCGACCCTCAAGTCCACCGACACATCGCCCACGGACAGAGTCAAGCTGGCCGAGGCCGAGGCCCAACTAGCCGCAGTCACGGCCATGATGCACGCGACAAGAAAGGAGCTCGAAGAGTCGTTCCAGGCCAAGCACGACAAACTCAAGCAAGCTGCCGAGGCCGACTTGGCCAAGTTAAAAGACCAGGCGAAGAAATCCATTCTGGACCTGCGGAAGAAGCTCGAGTCGAACTCGCGGTCCAGCGCCGACATGAGTGCACGGCTTGCACGAGCCAAGACGGACGTTGCCAAGCACAAGGCGGAGCTCAAGGCGCTGCGGGGAGACGTCGGGGCGTTGGTCGCGATGCTCGGCACGGTCACCAAGGACATGGCGGGCAAGATCGAAAGCCGAGTGAAGGCGCAAACAGACGCCCTCGCTGGCGTCGTCGACAACTACAAGCGCGAGATGAAGGAGCGCAAGCGGCTCTTCAACATGGTGCAGGAACTGCAGGGCAACATCCGCGTCTTATGCCGGTTCCGGCCCATCTCCAAGAACGAGACTGCCAACGGTTGCAAGGTCGTGACCAAGTTTACGGGCCACGAAGAGGTGTCGGTGGTCGGGGACAAGGGCAAGTCCAAGTCGTACGAGTTTGAACACGTGTTCGACATGCACTCGACGCAGGACCACGTGTTTGCCCAAGTCAAGGTATGTCATCGTGACATCTCTCGACGTCACGTCATCTCGCGTAGCCGCTGATCACGTCCGTCATGGACGGATTCAACGTGTGCATCTTTGCCTATGGCCAGACCGGGTCCGGGAAAACGTTTACGATGTCGGGGTCGGCCGATAACCCGGGCATCAACCCCCGCGCCCTCCACGAACTGTTTGGACTCAAGCACACCCGCACGCGCGAGTTCTACGACGAAATCACGGTCAGCATCATGGAAATTTACAACGAAGTGATCCGCGACCTCTTGGCCGAAAACGCCGCCAGCACGTACGTCCCGGTTGAGTCGGTCGGGTGCTGACGTTGCCGTTTGTTAGCAACCTGTCGGTGCGCCAAGGCTCGAACGGCAACTTTGTTCAGGGCTTGACCATGGTCCCCGTCAAGGAAGCGGCCGACGTGTTCAACTTGATCGCCAAGGGCAACCAAAATCGGTCGACGCACGCCACCGACATGAACGAGCACAGCAGTCGGTCGCACTCGATCTTGTCCATCTACGTGAAGAGCACCAACGTGGCCACCAACGTCGTCGCAAATGGAAAGGTTCGTGCCCATGTGGTCGTCGCGTTGATCGAGTGCTTACGCCAAGCCGTGTGGCAGCTTCATCTGGTCGACTTGGCCGGGTCCGAACGGCTGTCCAAGACGGGCGCCGAGGGCCAGCGGCTCAAAGAAGCGCAGAACATCAACCAGTCGCTCTCGACACTCGGAAACGTCATTCAAGCCCGCGCCAACAAGCAAAAGCATGTCCCTTACCGCGATTCGTCGCTCACGTACCTATTGCAAGACTCGCTCGGCGGCGACTCGAAGACGCTCATGGTCGCGTGCTCGTCTCCGGTCGACTACAACGCGGAAGAAACATTCTGCACACTCAACTTTGCCAGCCGCGCGCGGTGCGTCGAGATGGGCAAAGCCACCAAACACGTGGCCAAGCCGAAGGAGTAGATGGAGAGTCGATGATTGCATGGAATAAGACACGTGGATGCACACAGAGATTCGTTCGTGTTGCATGTTTGGCATGGAGCAAAAGGACCGGGTCGGCCCGGCGTCCCTACTGTCTCCTTCGCTTCGGTCGAAACCCAACCACTTCGTCGTCGTTGTCGTCAGCGATGGCATTTGTGTCTTCCACGTCCGGTGCATCAACGGCTTCGACAGGCTTGGAACGTTTGCCACGAGTGACCCGAGTGTTCTCTTGCTCAAGAGCCTGTGTGCTGGATTTGCGCTTGCGAGCAGCAGCTGGCGCCTCCTCCTGGACCAGGTCCGCTTCGGCATCTTCTACGTCCTCGTCGTCACTTTGATCGTCGGAATCCAACTCGACCACGACCTTACTGCGAGTGGATCGACGTTGCGGTGTGCGTTTGATGGAATTTGCCCTGGTCGGAGGCGTCTTCGTGCGCGCCCGCGATGGGGTCATCGCGGCATCTTGCTTGTCGCCACTGTTTTGCGAAGTCATGGCAGAAATGCGCTTCTTCTTGGGATTGTCGTCGGCATTGGCATTGGAAATTCGCTTTGCACGAGGTGTACGTGCCTTGGGTGACGGCTGCTGACCAAGCAACTTCGGCTCGTCGTCGTCTTCGTCGTCCGATAGGTTGCGCGACCGACGGGGCACTGGCTTTCCGTCGTCGTCAGACAAGTTGTCGCGAACTCGCTCGTGCGCGGCCACTGCCGGTTTGGGCGCCATCACAACGGCGTCCTTCTCGCCGCTCAAGACAGCAACCATGTCCGCAACCGCTGCGTGGTCGAGCGGATTCATGTCTGGTTTGCCGGCGAGGAGTTTGGACAAGTGGTTGTGCAGTGTCTTCAAGCTGGCCTTGTCCAGCCGACCGAGATATGGCTTCACGATGGCAAAAAACGCCGCGTTCTCCGGTGCATCCAAGCCATACCGCATCCCCTCGGACATGAACTTCAACAAACTTCCACGGATGGTTGCCGGCAACTTGGCGCCCAAACTCTGGTTGAGAACCTTCGCCAACTCGACGGCGGCTTCGCCGGTTTCTTCAAAGGTCTGTTGGAGCGACAGCATTTGGATTTCCAAGTACTTGACGACCGACACGGCCATCATGCGCTTGCCAAACGCTTTCACGAGTGGCTGGAATGCGTCGCTTGTCATGTGCTGGAGCACCGCCGCCGCCTGCCGCTTGTTCTGGGGATTGCACAACGACGTGCACGCCAGTGCCACCAGCACACTTTGTTTCGTATCGTCGTCGGCGTCGCCATCGTTCATGACGCGTTCGAAATACGACTGCGACAGCATGAGCAAATTCTTGTGTGGCCGGTACGCCAGGCGACTGAACGGCGCCACCGCGTCTTCAAACCGTTGGGTGCACAGACACCGCAAGTCGCTAAGGAGTAGAAACGCCGTCTTGTGCAAGTCGTTCACGTACGAGATTTGGTAGTTGGTGAGCTCGAGCTCGGGGATGTCGTGCACTTGGTCGGTAGGTGTCGATGCCGTCACGGACGCGCTGAGGTGCACCGAAAGGAGGCGGAGCAGCATGAATTCCAGGTTGTCACGGTGCTGGACGAGGTCGTCCATGGCGGATGTCGTCGCGGCTTCATCGACGGATGCTGCGTCGTGGATAGCATCGAAAAGCGGCGCCGACGACCACAGAAATGCTTTAAACAGGATCTGAGCTGCGTACTGGACACACGACGACGCGAGGCGTGGGCCGGCCGCGAGGTCCACCAGCGCCGTACGGTCGTGAACAAATGTCGCAAGGGTTTCAGGGAGATCTCCAAGATTGACGTCGTTCAAGTTAATGTACCCGCTGAGGAAATGGAGCCTCGCGAGCCACGCTTGGAGACCAAACTCGGTGTCTTTTGACTTGGACTTTTTGTCTTGCTTCAGCAGCGTCTGGCACTGCTCGATCGAGTCGCGCATGAGTTCTTGTTCAAGGACGGCGGCTTGCCGCGCCAGGGCTGTGTTGGACAATTCAGTCATGTGGTGGACGCAGCGAGATAGCTCCTGGAGAAATCGCTCGTCCGAGTGCGTCGTGTACGCGTGCTTGAGGCGGCCGAGTAGCTCTTCTACGTGCTTCTTGTGCTGGTTCATAATCGTGGTGTCGTTCCAGTTGAGCGTCGACACAAGTTGCAACAGCAAACACAGCTTTGCTGGCTCTGACTGGAAGCGGAGCATGAGGGTGGGGATTTCTCGGCAAAAAAAGATCGTCATCGGCTCCTACGAGGTAGAATGAGCCCTTTTCAATCGAGCAAACGGCCATGGACATTACCGATTCATCGCCCTTTTTACGCGGCTTCTTCGTGACGCCGTGCCCTGTGGCCCCAATTTGCTTGATGGTGCCGATGAGCATGCAAATCAAAATAGTCTAAACCGGGATCACGTGAGCAACCAATATGGGAAGGAAGGATATGGATAAACTGAACCTGCTGGTGGCTCGATAAGGACGGTTCATGGGTGTCGGACCCCAGGAGCACTGCCAGGAGCCGCCAATTTGTCAACACCTCTACGATCCGTACCAGCAACAACGATATCAGGACGTGGGGACTTGCAAGGCTGAGGCAACTTACGGCAATCAGCGTTGTCCCAGAACGCAGTCACGAGGAGATCGATTCGGTCGAGAGCCTCGTCTTTGCCGTCACAACCCATGTACTCTTCGGCGAATTCAACCAGCGCGACCGCCTGCACAATCAGCTGCGCTTCCGTCATGTCGTGGTCGCTGACGCCGAACGCGTCGTACTGCAGACAAACGAACTCGGCCGCGGACCGACGGATGCGGGAGTCCGGGTCAAACACGAGCCTCTCCACGACACTCAGGTCACTCTCTCCATCGAGGAGGTTTAATCTACAAGTTGAGCGCCGTTTATACCAACGAACGACGTGCCATCGCCAGCAATGCGGTCAACGTAGCATGGAGATATCTACCTGTCGATCTTCGCCAAGAGCTCCACGATACTCAGGACAACGTTGTCGTCGACATCGTCACACATTTCGAGGTATCGCCGCAAGAAGCGGGTGGTAAAGAGGGCGAGCTTTCCAGCGTTCGCTTCGTGCTAACCGCAGATGAATCATGTGACGATGACTGTCAGCACACACTTGAACATTACCGAATACAGCGTTTGGAGGGCGTCGACGACGGCGAGGCGCACCTTGGACGACTTGTCATTAAGCATCCACCCAAGAAACTTGAGGTAGTTGTCGACGAGGAACTCGCCCGGGAGGGTCTCGATCCAGAGGCCGAGAGTTTGCACCGACTCGATGCGGAGCTCGGGCATCGTGTCCCGATACCGATGGACGATCACGCCGTTGAAGAGCGATGTCAAGTATGTCATCGTGTTGGCGAGCTGCTCTTCGTACGTGCCCTTGAGTTCCAACAGTCGTGCAAGTTTGGGGTTCGACTTGGCCTTGGACTTGGGCGTCGTTTTGCCGTCCATGTCGGCGGCGGCGCACTGCCGGTTGATCGGAACGAGTTGATCGGTGAGCTGCTTGGCGCGGGCCACCAGCGCGTTCCCGATCGCATACGCGGCAAACGTGGATGTGTGGCGGATCGCGCGGACTTCTGAACTGCGCAGCAGCGTGAGGGTGCAAGGTGACGTGATAGGGCAACCATACCTTGAGAGAGAGTTGAGCCAGTCAACTGCCTTCTCAACAATGTCCGTCGTGTGGATAAGCTCGCTGTCCCAGCATTCCTCAACAAAGTGCTTCCAGAACGACTCGAAGTTGTCTTTGAACTTGCGACATCCCTGTTCGAACCCCAATGAGTACGCCACGGCCACCTCGACAGAGCTTGTGCTACCTTTGCCTTGGACGCGAGCGGGTACACCTGCTGCTCGGACGCCTGCAAGCTTACGACAACCGTGTCCACGAATGCCATCAAGTCGAGCTCGTCCAAATCGTCCTGCTCTTCGACACATATGGACGCCGACCCACAAGCATTCATGATAAAGTTGATCAATTCGCGAGATGCAGCATCTGCGTCTGCCTCGAAACGACTGCGCCACTCGCGCGCCAGGGTCGCGATGCTGGAAGAACCGGATTTGACGGCTTCGTAAAGCATGAACTCGCTCTCGTCGTCACTGCCATCGTCGCGTGCCGACTTCACATGTTTTGACGTATCCTTCACCGACTTACCAGCTTGGACGCGCAGTGTTCGTTCCGTTGGACGAGGAGGACGACCTATCGGTGTTTTGGGTTGCCTGTGTCGGGTGTGCTGTCAGACGGTGAAAACGGACAAAAACGTACGATAATCGAGGCTCGAATGCAGTTGATTCGGAGTCTCGCTTCGAAGCTGACACTGCCGGGGATGTGTAGACTGGAGCGGGGTTGTGAGCACGTGCACTGCGTCGCTGAGCGGTAGCTGGAGTACGTGTGGGCTCGTTGTCGACTGGAGTAGCATCCGGTGACTTCTGTTGTTGATCGTCCTTGTCATTATCTTTCCCGTCTTTCTTCGTCGCAACTGTGGATGCAGCTGGATTAGCTATAGTTCTACTTCGTAGCTTTGCAGGCGGCGTTTTCTCGTCAACTTCATCGTCAGGTACATCTTCTGGATCACCCCCCTGGGTTGAACTTGTTCCTTCATTGTGTTCGGAATTATCTGCCTCCTTTGATCGCGACTTGCTCGATGCAGGTGCATTCACCTGGGTTTCCTGATTCTCTTCCATGTCCTCGGCCTCGGATTCGTGCTCGGCGCTCTTCGTATCATTGGTACGCTCCTTCACGTGGCGTCGTGGCATGTTCCACACCGAGTTGCCGCCTTCGCGAGATTCAAAATAATGCCGCAACTTCTCATGATTTTTTTATGTGGACATTCGACTTTACAAATTCCAAGTAAAACCTGAATAAAATCAAAAACTGAATAAACCCATACAAACATCAAGATAGTCTGGTGTCATGCAGGCTTGGCGCCAAACTCGATTCTTGCACACTATTTAACTCGACTACACTATTAAAAGGAATCACTCGATTTTGTGCGAAGGTTGACAGTGAGCACGTGACAAAGATCGCGCGAATCTTGGACCGATGCGCCTCGCAGCTGCAACCATGACGATGGCTCTGGTGTCCTTGGAGGCATTGTGTACTTCATGTACGCCACTGGCGAAGAGTATTCAAACCCCGCCAAAATTCCCTCTGCATTTTGAGGCCGACCTGGAGATCACAGGTATGTATATAGTCTGCACAGAGTAGACGATGGTCATCTTCACGAGTCCTGAACATGCACAGCTCACCTGCTCGACCCCGCCGTCGCGTACCCACCGTCATTACGCAGGATGAAGATTCGATACGATTACAGTCAAGGGTTGGCGCGCGCCGACATCTTGGCTGGGTTTGACAAAGGCAAATCGTACATTCGTCGCTACGACACGGTTCGTCATTCCATACTGGTCGCTTGCACGTCTCAACATACGAGGCAATGCTTGCTGTAGAAGAAAGAGTACAAGGTCAAGTATGGCAAGTACGCCAACTGCGAGCGAGCCTACCTCGGTATGTAGATGCGCCAAGGGCATGCTCGTGGAGACGGCACTTTTGAGTGCTTTTCTTGAATCGCGCAGGTGAAACAATGCCTCGCCCGGAGCTCCCGCCGGGACTGGAGTTTAAGGTAATGTTGCTTGATGCTACTTTGACGCGACGAGCAACAACGATGGCTAGGGAAACGAGAATGTGCGGGGACAAGCTTGTGAGCGATGGACGTACGACATCCCGAACACGGTGCTTCGCGTGATCGTGTACAACAGCGTCCACAGCCATGGTGCGTGTCGACGGGAGGTGGCCGGACTTGACCGAGTGTTCCTGCAGTGCCAATTCGGCTGACTCAAGAGAGCCAAACAGACGTTGGGGACTGGGCACCCATCATCACGTACGACCTGCTCAATATCAAGCTACGGCCACAGGTGCGCCAAGCAACTCGCGCCAAATTGACCGTGTGCCACAGGACCGTTCGTCGTTCGATATTCCTGGCGGCTACACCCATGAAACATGCACGCGGAGCGTCGTGGGTTTTCCATACATTCACGTTTTTGATCAGTATGTCAGGTTTTAATGGAAGGAGGTCGATTTAATGAACCAAAGCAAGGTATGTGCCAAGCAGGGCTCGAAAACCAGCCACGACGAGTCGATGACGTTTCCACACATGCACAAAACAACTTGTTGCTGCGTTTCAAGGTTGTGGAGGGCATCTCCTTCGTTTCCACTTCAACAACGACGCCGCTTGCGTGTGTGTACACGGCGCTGCTCGACCTCGATGGCCACAAGCTTTCCATGCATGCAAGCCAGGGCATGGCAATCAGTGTTCATGGAACCTCTTACCCTGTTGTCACTTCGGTCGATCCTCCTATCCTGGTCTGCATTCGATCCACCTTCATTGCATCACATGCATATCGTCCGTCCTGTGTCTCTCGTCGCATTCGCCGTGTTGCGCGACCGGATACACGATTGCGTTATCCGGTTGTCAAGAACGCGTTTTGATTGGCTATATTTCAACCAATTAGAAAATAACGGTCTGTGATTGGCTGGCATCCAAATCGGGACCAAACGAATGGTTGGTTCGCGGGGGGAGGTGGCATGGCAGCCATCGCGTAGTCTGCCAATTCGAGAAGATAAGCAACATGGTCAAGAACGTCCGCATCACCTACCGCCGCCGTCACTCGTACGCGACCAAGTCCAACCGTATTGTGCCGGTCAAGACCCCCGGTGGTAAGCTTGTCGCCCACTACGTCAAGAAGCACTCGCACGGCCCCAAGTGCGGTGACTGCAAGCAAGCGCTCAAGGGCATCAAGCACTTCGCGTCCAAGGCGTACAAGAACATTGCCAAGTCGGAAAAGACTGTGTCTCGTGCTTACGGTGGCTCCCGCTGTGCTGGCTGCGTGCGCCAACGGTGAGTGTCTCCGTCGTAAGCGATGTCGTTGCGTTCATCGTGTTGCCCCCTTGTGTAGCATCGTGCGCGCGTTCCTCATCGAAGAGCAGAAGATCGTGAAGAAGGTCTTGTTGGAAAAGTTGTCCAAGAAGAAGGCGGAAAAGACTGCTTAATTCTGCACCCTCGGATGACTTTTGTGGTGGGCCTGCGCTAGTTTCACCTGATGATGATAAAGCACATATCTTCTTGCGAGTGGCAAAGCACTTACCCTCCATCCGCTCGTCAATCTATCGCGTCCTTGGACTCTGTCGCGTTTTGTTTGGGCCCGATCACTTGCTTGATGCGAGATACAGGGAAGTAGAAGTGTGGCGGCGCCATCCCGCATGCGCGGGACCACGTACCAGCGCCTTCCACCGGATTGACTAAAGCGGATACCAGGATGAAGGCCCATATAAGTTCACGAGTACGGAAATCCTGAGGGAATGATCACAGGTCTAGAGGAGTTGGGGCCACTTCCAGTCGAGCGGACATGCACGTGATGTTCGAACTAGAAGTAGCTCTCAAGTGTTTGACCGATAATGGACACGCTCCAGTTGGAGTACGTCGATGCATAGTATGTGTTGCGAGAGAAGAAACAAATTTCATGGGTTGAGGTGGTGTACTAGAGAGTCGTGCATCCGTGCTTTGCAACAGAAAACGACGACGATTACTCGAGCTTTTCCAGCTCGCGAATGCGATCGAGCATCTCGCGCTTGCTTGTTTCTTGGACTTCGCCGCCGAGAATGTATTCATCGAGCATCGAGTACACCTAGAAAACGTGAGCATGAAAAGACCATCCATGGGATGGTGCGGTCGACACCTTGTTGAAGTTGAATACAATGTCGAGCTCGCACACGTTGGAGAACTGTTGGTCCAGCAACTCGACAAACAAGTGGATCGTTTCGAGGCACAACAGTTCGTTTGCATGCAAATCCACACCCACGATGAAGAAGAGACCGGCATATCGGCGGTAAATCAGCTTGTACGAACGAAACTCAATGAAGTTGGTGTGTTTGGCGTCGCGTGCGACAACGAGGCGATGGATTTCAGCTTCGAGACGCGGCTTCTCGAGATCAGGCGGCGGGGGCACGTACCACTTGGAGAGGCGGGTCTTCCCTTGTCTATTTTGCAAGAGGAAGAAGCGAATCTACTCGAACATTGCATTATTATCACCATCGCGGCGCCATGGAGTTTCATCATGATGTACCATGGTGTCGGGGGCGAAGAACGGAATTTGGCAGATTTCGACGCGTGCGAAGGTTGAAACTGCCATCGCAAAAACTTTTTTAAAATACCATCACATTGTCCATATAAACAGTGCAACATCGAAGGTAAATATTTTAATCGTGACAAATGGTATCCGGACAAAAGATCCAATCTTTGGGAGGCACAAGATCCCATTTATCCGGATTTTGTACATTCCTCCTCCCGACGGGATGATGGAACTCGGCATGCATGGAGCGTTCGGCGCTGGATAACGTCGTGCATGTCGGTCCATGGCGTACGTGTGCTGGTCATTTGTCACGTCTCATTCTTCAGCGGGTGGTTGCACACAGACGGACGACGCGTGCACTTGGTCGGGGTGTATCCAGCACCAACAGACTGCGCCGCTTTCCCGCGACGCTGCGAACTTCGCCGTTGCATCATGTTCGGTTGGAAAGTGGTTGGGTACACCGAGAGCTGTGCACGATTCATTTCAATGCAACGACGTCGACGGCAGGTTTCACAAACGAAGCGTCGCTGGTGGCCGAGGATGAGGACAACGATGGGGGCATTCTTATATAATCAAAAGGGTAAAATATGTTTAATACGGCAACCACTTCCACTCGGGGCTTTCCCGGGTGAGTTGGGCGACGTGCTCTTCCAGCGACCGGCCGGCCGCCTTGGCGCACTTTTGCATCTTGCGCACGTCCTTGGTACTCATGGCACGGAGGGACTTGGGGTTGATAATCACACCCGTGACCTTGATGCGATCGTTGGTCGAGCCAAAGCCAGACCGCGACGGATCCGGTTCCTCCGCCTCTTCCATGACCTTTTTGCCGCCACCCAGCCGATACTCGGTTTCTTGGGCTTCACCGATCACGCGCACGCGGCCCGACTCGACGAGCCACTTCTCCGTGCACAGCGAGTTGTAAAACTCATCGCTGTGGGAAATCATGATGACGGCGCCGGCAAAGACGCGGATCGCGTCCGCGAGCGCACCGAGGGCGGCACGGTCCAAGTAGTTGGTCGGTTCATCGAGCACAAGCAAGTGGGGCCGCGTCCACATGGCGGCGGCAATCACGAGCTTGACCTTTTGGCCGCCCGAGAGGCCGCGAATCTTGCCATGTGTGCCAAACTCGGCCGCCAAGTTAAAGTCGTCCAAGTGCTTTTGGACTTCGCGCGTCGTGGTCGAGCGCAGGTCGCCGCCGCCGGCAAGGGTCGCCTGGCGGATATCCTCCAGTTCCGCGAGCTTGCCGAGACCCATTTCGACGAGCTGGTCCAGCGTGTAAAACTTGTTGTGCTTCTCCGACATGTTGACGAGCTTGCATTCGTACTCGAGCGTTTTCTTGACCATGCGGCGAGAAATGATCTTTTCGATCTGCCCGGTCGACTTGCCGACCAAGTTTTTTTCCTCCTCCGACTGCGCCACATTCACGCGCGAGTCGAGTTCGCGGTCGATCCCGCCCGGTCCGCCATACCGCCACTGAATGTACTCGACGGGAGAGCTGTCCAAGTGCTGCTCGACGTGGTGGAGCGAGTGCTGCGCAACGTACGCGACGCGCAAGTTGTGGTGCTTCCACATCTCACCGCAGTCGGGGGACGTTTCCTGGACAAGCATCTTGATGAGCGTCGATTTCCCGGCGCCGTTGCCGCCGATCACGGCGACGCGGGAGGCCAGGCACAGCTTGATGTTGACGTCGACGAGCTGCGGTTTGGCGGCGCCGGGATACGTGAAGTTGACGTTTTCCATCGACAGGATGCGGCGGGTCGTGGACGTGATGCCGTCGAGACGGCCGGGCTGGGGAAAGATGAACTGGCAGTCCGACGCCGACAACTCGTAGTAGTGCTTGGCCTCCGGGTGGATCTCGACAAAGTGGGCGAGTGTGCCGGGGTACAGAACGAGCTGCTTCTGCTCGTAGTGCAGCACGTCCGTGCACACGTTGTCGAGAAAGCCCGTGTCATGCGACACAAGCAGCACCGTCATCGACTCGAGCGAGTTCAAGTAGCTCACCAGCCAAGCCACAGCATGGACGTCCAAGTGGTTTGTCGGTTCGTCCAGCAACAACACGTCCGCGTTGTACAGCATCGCGCGACACAGCGACAGCTTCATGCGCCATCCGCCCGACAGCGCCGCGATCGTGCCGTCCATGTGATGTTGCGTAAACCCGACCGACTTGAGTGTGTCGATGACGGCCTCGCGCGTGTTGTGGGCGAGGTCGGGGTCCGCGCACAGCGAGTCGAGCATCGATCCGGCGTCCGGGACCTGGTCTTCGTGCTGCACGTAGATGGTACGGAGGTGGGTCGGCAGCCCCTCGATCGTGTGGTTGGCAATGTTTCGCATCAACGTCGTCTTTCCGACCCCATTCTTTCCGACGAGGCCGTACCGGTGGCCGCGCGTGAGGCGCAGGCGGGCATTCCGCAGCAAGATCTTGCCGCCGTACGCAAGGGAAAAGTCAATGTCGCACACGTCGTTTGGGTCCACCGACACTTCGCGATCGTCGCCGAGGCCGCCGCCGGCCTTTCGGAGCGCCTTGCACACGTGATCGGCATCTTCGTCTTGCATATGTGGGAGCAAGTACGGCATGACAAACCCGCGCCACTCCTTGCCGCGATTCATCGTTACCAGTTCCGCGCAAATGTCTGTGATATAATGCAGCGCAACCTCGGTCAGCCCAGGGTGGGTCGCGATGTCGAGCGCATCGTGTAGACCTTGCAGAAGCGCCGCTTGAATCGCAGCGCGGGTCTTGGACGGATCCTCCTCGGCGCTGCCTTCGCCGGCGGCGCGCTTCAAGCAGCTACGGGCATCCGCGGCGACTTCGGCAAGTTCCGGGTCCGCGATGCGTTCAATGACAGAGTCCAACTGCGGCAGCAGCAGCGGCACGAACGGCGCAATGTCGACGGGTCGAGAGACTAAGCGGCACATGCTGTCGATGATGCGGGATGCTTTGCGGCGCAGCGCCGACGAGTTGGTGGTCGTGTCACGGAGGGCTTTGTTCAACAACGGCGCGATCAGTGCCAGGGTCGGGGCGTCTACGTTCGAGACAAAGGTTGTGGCGAGGAGGCTGTCGATGGCCTTGAGCGATTGTTCAGGGTTGGCAATTACGTTTACAAGGACTGGCACGAGGGGGAGCACGTCGTCGTTTGTGATGGTGGAGCACGTGGCGGTAAGCGCGGCGATGGCCGCTTCCTTGACTTGGGGCTTGGTGTCCCACACAACGTTCGAGAGCTCGGGAATGATCTCGGGCAGCGAGTTTGACGTTTCGTGCGCGGCCTTGCTGGCAAAGTGGCGAAGGAAGTCGCACGATGCGACCTTGGACTGCCAAGCCTTGAGCTTCAACCCCTTGAACACTTCTTCGAGGATTGTACGGGTCGCCAACGGGGACACGGTGTTGATGAGCGTCATGACGGTGCGGACGGCAGCGTCGCGTACTTGGGGTTCCTTGTCCGCGTGGCGCTCCATGATGGGTACAAAGAGCGAGACGAGGATGGGCTCGATGGCGGACGAGATCGCATCGCACTTGCTCATCCCGATGAGAACAAGGAGGCCACCCTGGCGCTGGTTTGCCGACTTGTCCGAGACAAAGCGCTGGATCTCGTTGAGGACGAAAATGCCCGTGTAGCTCCCAACCCCGATGAGCTCCACGGCCTTGACCAAGTCATCGATGGCAGATTGACGGATGCTGCGCGACGCGGGTGTGCTGATCTTGTCAAGCAGCACTTGGACGAAATCCATGCGCGACGGCTCGTCCGACGCGAGAAACGCGGCGATTTCTTCGTCTGTCGACAGAACATGGTAGGATTCGTCGTCGTTGTCGTCTTCGCTAGCTGACGACAAAATGGACGTCGAACGCGTGGCAGCCGTCGGCGTGCTGGGGCCCGAGCCAGGCGTAAAGGACGTCGACGTGGCGGTGTAGGCTCCAGGAACAAACTCCCGCGCTGCCGCCGTCAGGCCAGACGGTCTGGGCGGTGCAGAGGCCGAGACCGGGGCCAGAGGAGGTGGCGGAGGTCGACCAAACATGGCAGCAGCAGCGGCAGCCTTGGCGGCAGCCTTTTCCTTCTGTGCCTTGCCCATGATGATGCGAATGCGCGGGGGGGGATTCGCTTGTGACGACGATTTGTTGGTTGTCTATGCCTGAGACAACCCAGGGATGTCGGAGGAATTTTTTATATTTGGACGATGTCGATTTTAAATACCTTGGAAATTGTATGAAATTGATTGAATCGTAAAATATTACGACCTCCTAATGTAGAGATTCGACGATTGGCCAATCAAATCGCTGTTCTGACAACCACCAATCATCCAGCCAGCCCGTGACGCGTTTTACATTTGACCGAGTAGATGTTTATTGATTTTACTCACCCAGAGGCGTTATAGTCGACCCCCACTTACGTTCACGAGAGTTGTTGCGAAAGCGACAATGCAACCAGCCTGGCAACGGTAGTGAGAATATGGCGACATTGCGCTGTATGCATGCTGCTGATGAAGGAGGAAAACGGGCATGCAGGAGCACCAAACGGAAACTACAGGTATGGATTTTAACGTCCAGATGTTGTGAAAAACGTAGTCAGACCAACGGCACTGGAAAAGGTTTTTCAGGTTGATTGACTTCACGACCATGACGTGGCACTCGGAAAATGCAGCAGCGACGCGAACAGGGTGACATGGACAGCGGGAGCGAGGACGGGCGAGAGCGACGTCATTTGTGGACCTGATACCACGGGGTCTCGATGCCCGAGCACTTTTGGAGCAGCGGCAGGCTCCTACCGAGTCGCACGTGAATCGAATGTGGAAGGAGAGGTGTCCGTACTTTGCATGGTATTGGCGCTGCTTCGTCATGGTTGGAAAGAGAAAGAGCTGGTTCGTCGATGGTTTCGCTTTGGCTTTTCGCGGTGGGATGCATGGAGGTAATGGCAGGGTCGTCGCGTGGGCAGGCACCTCGTGCGTCAGGTCAAGACAATCGTTGGGCTGGAAGAGACCGACAGCAGCAGTCGACGCCGCAGACTTTCGGAAGGACGAATGCATGCTGTGCATCGCCAAGATCATCTCTTTTGTCGGCTCCACTGGCGCCATGCCGGTCGTATCTCTGCAGGAATGGAAGTTACCTTCACAAGTCGTGTCAAAGTTTGATGCATACACGTAAACATGCGGGCAGGTGACGTCTGCTCGAGACACTGGGGCTTTCTTGGGCGACGGAACGCGCTGCGGCGACGACGATCTTGTGGTCGGGGAACCTGGCTTGGCGGGCGATGCGGCGTTAGATGCAGCTTTCGTTGCAACTTCTTCTTCGGGGAGGGGAGGTAGCGGCGGCACTGAGATATGGGGCAACATTAATCCAACACGCAAGCAGCGTGAGCAAGCTCACGTTGAAAATCAGCAAGAGCAGTCGTGAGGGTGTCGTGGGTGGTCGAGTGGGCAGACCACATCACGCCAAAGAGCAGTTGCAGCCGCTCAACGAGGAAATCGAGGGTACGGAAGGCGACATGCTGCATGCCTAGGCACGCCGCATTCAGCCTCCACGAGCAGGACACTAACCTTACGATAAAGGACGGCTGGCCACGCCTTGAGGGCTTCAAAAAGTTCGTCCAGCATAAAGTATACCACCTCTACGTTGGTGGTGCACTTGACGGTCACCGGCTCTGGAACGTCAAAGAGGCTCGAGATATCTCCCACATATGACTACATCACGCCACGACAATGCTAACTGAGGCAACATCGAGAGGGGGGTGACAGTAGCAGGTCATCCACCTCGCTCAACGTACCTGCGGTCCCAAGATGGCAACGTCAAGGTCTTTGGGGGGCGGCGGGGCGGGTGGGGCCCCTGGTAGATGTAGCGACGAAACGACGGGCGCCGGCGCTTCGAGCGAGTCGTCCTTGAACGAAGCTTTCGCAGTGCCTTGCACGATGATGTAAAAGTTGGATTTGGCGTCGCCTTGGTGCACCATCGTCGTGCCCGGTTCGAACGACCGATATCGAACGTACGGCTCGAGCATGGCCATGCCAAAGAGGTGGAGGCAGTTGAGCGTCGTGACATGGGCGAGCGCCGTCGCCGACTCGGTCAGGTTATCTGCCGAAATCACGAGACAGTCGACGGGGCCGCGCAGGACAACCTGCGTAGTGTTAGCCACCGCACCGTCAAGCGCGTCCCACACACCTTCTGGAACTTGGACTTTGGCGCGGTAGAGCCATAGGGGTCACCGACCCAACCGACATGGGTTGTCGGCGCATACACGGCGTTCTTGAAGTGGAGGTTGCCAAACACAGCTCCATCCCGCATGTGCACTGGGACTTGGCCCGGTCGATCCACAATCTATGGCTGTCGATGAATCCCGCGTACGAGGCACTGCCACGTACGTAGCCGTCTGCGCTGCCGCGTAGCAGCACGTACGACACCTTGAGCTCGGGCGTGCGGACTTCGACCGTCTCGCCCTTATAGACGTACTTGAGCTTGATATCTTTGGCCAGCGCGAGGCTACAACCCCCCCGCCGCATGAGACGACGACCCATGCAACGTCGAGTTGAACCGTTCGGTGTGGGTGAGGCGCTGCCACCACCCCATGCGATGCACGATCGTCTCTCGCTCCAAAAAGTCGACGACGAATTCGAGTTGTTGCTGGCAACGGAACAAATGAGATGCCCCAGACCGCGATTGTCCAAGTCGTGGGAGGATGGCGCACCTGCGACAAGTCGATGCCGCTCATGTACATGCGCCGCAGCGCAAACTTGGCCTGGAGCGACTGGGCGCAGTACTTGATTTTCTACTCCGGGGCGATTAGCGCGCCCCACAACGCCCGATGGCCATCGTTCCACGTACTCCTTTCGCCTTCTTCATCGACCTAGCACACGAAGCTGCTGGCAATGCTAATTTTAGCCGCGCCAACATGGTCGCGATTTGCGCGCGGCGCCAGCGCACGCAGGACGCTTCACGCATTGTTACATCCGCCATTCCAGTGAGCTGAAGCAGAGTGTGGTTGACATCGATTGTGGATATTGCAAACGCGGCTACGTGCATGCCCACGTGTCGACGAGCGCGAGTTTTCATCCCATCCCTCCAGACATGGTTTGCGGCGCCGAACACGACCGCCTCCTTGCGCCACACCACCTCAAGTTTTTGTGACTAGATAACTTTCAACGACTCGACACGGCCCAGGGGCAACGACACTTGAATAAAGAAAGCGCATGTCGCCATCATGGCGACGGCTACCTTGACGCCGGTCCATGAAGGCTGCATGTGCCTCCGTGAGTGGCGTCATGCACGTCGTGGCGTCCTCGCTCGATTCGAGATGCCCCAAGGACATTGTACACACCATTCAAGCATCCACACTCGCCTTGTTTTCTAGTCTCTAACGATACGATGGCGGAGGGTCATACGGCCCCGACCGATACGCTGGCCCTTGAGACCGCACTGGACCATACCTAAACGACAAACGTGAGCGAGGAAAGATCATCCAATGCAGTCATTACGATGGTGGGTCGTGCCGTGGCGGCGGGTGGTCTGGGTACCGGGCATACCCCCTCCCTTGTCCATACTCGGACGACGGCGCCTGGCCCGCTCCATACGACCGCGGGGACGACTGACTGTAGCCATGGTTGCCATTGTACGGTCCAGCATTGTAAAAGGACGGCGGCGGTGGGGCATACGGCGGCTGCGTGGGGTAATCATGATGTCGGCCGTACGACGGCGGATGCGACTCAGGCTGGTAATGGCGCGAGGGAGGGGAGTCGTAAGCAGGAGGTGGGGGGCGTTGATAGGATGGCGGTCCATACGGCGGCGGCGGATACGCTCCGTGGGCTGGGTAGCTACCTTGTGGTGGTCCAAACGGTTGTCCATACGCATGGTGGTTTCGTGGCGCGTGGTCAGGGGAAGGCTGCGGTGGTGGCGGATAGGATGGTCCGTTGAAGCTGGGGGGAGGCTGGGAGTAGCTCGGCGGATGGTACCCTCCATGTGGCGGATGCGGCTGCTCGTGATGATGTGGCGGCGGGTACGATGGGGCGTTGTATGCAGGCGGTGGTGGTGCATTGTAAGCGGGACCGTTGTACAGTGGTGGACCCTGCGGTGGGTACCGAGGGCCGCGGCCGTAGTCTCCTCGACCGCCGCCACGACCTCGCCCGCTTGCACCGCGACCACGTCCTCGGCTGCCATCACGAACGCTGTCTCCCCGACCGCGTCCGCCGCCGGACCGACCACCGCCACGGCCTCCGCCACGTCCTTCAAAGCCTCCACGCACATGTCCTTCCGAACCGCCTCGACCTCTTCCTTCACCTCGACCTCGTCCGTCGCCGCGACCACGTCCTCCAAATCGACCGCCGCGCGCGGCACCTTGGGAACGCTGAAAGTCCTTCTTCATCGGGTTGATCTTGACTGTAGTGCCATGGATCACGTGCGAGCCCGCGGCAAGTGCATGCGCCGCTTGCCCGGACGACGCATACGTTACGAATCCGTATCCAAAAGGCTACAAACAGTTCCAAGTCGATGCGTAGCCGGCGCGCCAACTCACCGCTTCTTCCATGGGCTTGACGTTTCGCCGAACGCTCGTTATGACGCCAAAGCAGCTCATCTCGGCCTTGATCATGTCTACACTTCCACGGTCAAAGATCTTGACGAAAGACACAAACAGTCGCTTCGTACCCTCCGTCATATCGTGAACGATGTTGCTCAAGTGGACCCCCGTGCCGTTGTACGACCGCCGCCACTGTCTACGAGCGCAACGTGGTCACTGCGCCATGCGACTGTTCCATAGCACGTACGCGACAAGTGTCGGGTCCACCGGCGGCGGCATGGGCGACACAAGCAGCGTAGTGCCGCCAATCGAGTGTTCTGGTAAGGCAAACACAGCATTGAGTGCCTATTGCACACCAAGATAGTCAGCCATGCACAACGGAAAGGGAGCAGCTGCACCGTCAGATCGGAGAGCGTAACGTCGCCAGAGCCAGAGTCAGGCGACCACGTCAGGCTTTCGACGCCACCAATCGCTTCAAAGTGACTGCGAATGTCGTCGCTCTAGCGTATATCATCAGCGTGGTGCACGTCAGTCGATGGATGTACCTGCTGGATGGACTTGGACGGATCGCGGATGACGACCTTGGCCAACTGCGTCGACGTGCTTTCGAACGATATGCCGTAGTACCCTTGCTCATACTCCTGCAATGGCGTCGTGTGGACAGGAGCGACCGGAGTCGCTTCGTCCGTGCCCGACGCGACACAGTCGTCGTCCTCCGCCGCGTCGTCGCCACCATCATTCGATGCAATAGAGTGCGTACAGTTTTCGGTGGGCTTCACGTAAGGAACGTCTTCCTCAATCTCCCCTTCTTCCCGATCGTCGTCGACGGTTGATGGTGGATGTTCCCGTGCGATCGAACACGATTCTGGACTTTTGGGTGTCGCCGCCACACCAACACTTGTCGTGTCTGTTTCGTCCACGAGATCTGAATTAGGACAGTCTAGAGGTGCTGCTGGGTCGGTGTCGGCATCTAGGCGTCCCTCGTCTTGTCCATCAACGTCCTTTCGAGTCCCTTCCTCTGGCAACCTCTCGGTCTCATGCGGCTGTTGTTGTCGCAACGACAACTCGTCAGAAGAAGGAGCGGTGTGTGCGAGATCACTCATGTTCTGTGCTTCCTACACATGCAACGTGTCATCTCGGCGCCGCCGCGCATGTCGCTACCGTCGCGTCCACCAGGTGTATGCAAACCGCCTGAAAGGAATCGCTGAAAACGGTTGTAGATTTCACCGATTTGATTGGTCAAAAATTAGCCAATAGCAATGACAGCGTTCAAACCTTGAGCTCATCATGTTGCTCAGCAGCGGCATCGCCCAACCGAGCAACTCCTTCACACGGTGGGCGCGCCGCCTTGCGCCATCGACGGCCGCTGCGCAGAATGGCACCCTTCCACTTGTCGCTGAATGTCCAAAACTGGTCCCGGGCCACGCCCTGCTGCCACACAAGCGCCACGTCAACACATTCGTGGCGGTGGCCGGCATTGTCCGCAACTGCAGTGGCTTCCGCGCATACCGCCGCTTGAAACAATAGCACCCGATGGCCATCGCCTGCGCGTGTAGCCTCAATCATGTACATGCGGCGCCGTGGCTGCCCGTGCTGGTCAGAGCTGCCTTCAGTCACGGCGAGGTCCATCTACTCCACGATGGCGCCATCAAATCACAGCGTTCGAGCGCGCAATGACCTCGGACATGTGAACCAAGGCTGCGCTGTCCAGAATGCGGCGGTGCACGAGGTCCAGCGAAACACACTCGCTTGTATCTGCACATCCCGTTGAGATCCGACAGGCGATCGAATGGTCGCGCCGCAAGAGTACCTGTTTGGTCCACGCGAAATGTCAACTCTTGCCGACGCTTGGACTCTCGTCGCTTGGCGAGAACTTTGTGTGAATGCTAGCACACACCGCGTCGATGAAAACGGTTTCCCTGGCAACCCACTACAGCACGTGTCGCACCTGTCGTTCAGACCCGTGGCCATCTGAGGTAAAGGACCATGCCAGCCCCCATCGCGTCGTCCGGCCTTGGAGAAACTCTGTCGTGCGCATGTTGCATACGCCATGGGATCGTAGGAGAGCGAGGAGGGGCCGCAAGGAACTTTTGCGTCCGATCAACGACGTGTACCAGCGCACTACACGGCAAACTCGCGTGGCGAACTAGCCGATAGCGTGAACGGGGGTACCTTTGGTGTGGAGGACAAGGCTGTCTTGGATCATGGTGGAGATGAAGGCAACTTCTCCGCCAGGAGTTGTCATCTCGCCGTGGGAACCAGTGCATGCCGTGCGTGGGTTCGTGTCTGCTTCCTCGACCGAGTCAAAGAACGGGGGATTGCACATGCTGAACAGAATCGGGCTTGCGTGCGTTGCAATCGACTTGATTAGGAGGACGGAAGGCGCGTCTGGCGCAACCGCCTCAACGTGGATCGCATGCGACAGGTTGTTAGATTCGACATTCGCAGTTGCATATCGAAGGGACAAAGCATCGATGTCGGTCGCAATGAAATTCCACTGATTCAACGAGTGCCCGAGCAGCGGGTAGATGCACGAGGCCCCTGTGCCAATGTCGATACCCCAGATGGGACCCTCGTCGGACGTCGCAGTGTACGTTGATCGAGACAACAGGATCAAGTCTTCGATCCAGTGAATGTAGTTGAGGCGATTTGTCAGCTACAACGACATGGAGTGCGTTCAAGATCGAAGCATCGGAGTCAGGTACCGGTGGACACAACCGGTTGAGGGGAATATCCCAAGTCACACCAAAGTCACGGTGAAGGAGGGATTTGGTCAGTTCTCTACGAAGTCGACGTAAGTATGCATGAACTTTGGCAGTACCATCAGGACAACGAGCGCACGCACCTTGCTGCTTGAGGATCATTCCACTGGAAGCTGCATGTACCATTGCTGGACTGCCGAACACTATGGCGACGATCATAAGGAACAAGCGTGAAAGGTCGTTGTGCGTACTATGGCTGCAGTGAAGGATACGCCTTCGCAAGACCTTCGAAGTCGGGGGGCGTTCGATACATGTTCCGCGGGTGGATCCCATCGTTGTTCACAACTGTCCTCTTGCGCTTTTCGCCGCGCATTTTCGATGCATCTTGTTTCGAGTATCGGGATTTCCGGATAGTGCACAGCAAGTCGTTTCCAAAGCAATTTCTACGTCATTTGAAAAAATTGCAACAACAAATTCCTGATGATTCCATGGGAGTTTTTGGACCTGCAAGTCAAGAATCGATTCGATCGATCGACTATTCAATGCAGAGATTGATTGGCTAATACCAGTGACCCTCTTAACTACTCCGGAGTACTCCGGAGTATTACCATAACGTTTTTTACCTAAAACCAGAAATATCTTGAACATCGGACTAGAGCGAAATTGCTTTCATCTTATCGCACTAAGAAGATAACTGCGCTCAATCATTAATTGAGTTAAAACATGCATTCTACCTTCCTCTTGTACCAAGGGTATTTATCCGGTCACTCACAACAACAGAAATATCTGGTGTATTTACTTCGACATTGCGCAATAACGATTAGAAAAACCGTAGATTGTTCTCACGAAATGCACACTACAGGGAACGACGGAAATCCTTCGCCCATAGTGCTTGAGAAATATCTTGAAATTTGTATGAGAAAAAAATAATTGGACTGTTGGTTTTTCGGAAAATAATATTCTGTTGACCTTTCTGATTTGCACGAAACA